GTCGAATGCTGCATTGATGTCAAGGGTTGACATTCTCATCTTTCTTCTTTAATCAGCGCTTTTGTCCATATTTGAACCAAAGCTGTAATGCAGTTAGGAGCTGAGTGGCCTCAGTGGAACCCAAATTGAATGTCAGTGAGCAGGTTATTGTTGAGCAGGTGCTGCTTGGTAGCTCTATCAATGACACTTTCCATCACTTTACTGGCGATCAAGAGTAGACTGATGAGGTGGTAATTGGCCAGATTGGATTTGTCCTGCTTTTTGTGAACAGAACAACTGGGCAATTTTTCACATTGTTGGGTAGATGCCAGTGTTGTAATTGTATTGGAACAGCTCCTCTAAGGGAGCAGCCAGTTCTGGAGCACAAGTTTTCAGTACTATTGCTGGATTGTTGTCAGGGCCCATAGCATTTGCAGTATCCAGTGTCTCCAACTGTTTCTTGATATCATGTGTAGTGAATTGGATTGACTGAAGACTGGTGTCTGTGATGATGAGGACACTGGAGGAGGCACGTACATTTGTAAGTTGCTGAATTATAATCAAATGTAACTACTTTAATATTTGTATTTTCTTTTGGAAAGTAAAAGGCAAAGACACTTAGCTGGTGAATTAGTGTCTTCACATCTCAAAACACTTTGACTTGCTTTGAGTTTTACTGGCTGTAGTATTTGTCTCTATTGCTGCAGCCATTTGGTACATAGCAAGATCCCAGAGCAATAGTGGTTTGAATTGCAATAGTGAATGTTTACAATTCCTGTTTGGGTGGTTTCATATTGATGGAAATTGTTTCAGTGCTGACAGAGCTAAACCACCCTGTTCCCTTTGTGGTTGAACAACATAGTCTTCAGGTGGGTATAACTGGTTGTGTATTCTTGCCATACGTGGCCCTTGGCAATTTGTCTTAGAGCAATCGAGGTGTGGCTGTTTGTGGAAAATGTGATATCAATTGCACTAGGTACAAAAGATTGTATTAGTGCCCTTGCGATCCAGGGTCGTGTTCTAGTGGTGTGAGTTCAAATTCAAACTTGTTAACTAAGAAATTTAAATTCAGTTAATTAAATAATTTATTAAAATTGGGTTACGAAATTTAGTATCAATCATGGTAATTACAAAACTACTAGACAGTTACAAGATTGACCTGTTCACTAATGTCCTTTCTTTGAGGGGATAAAATCTGAGGTCCTTATCTTGTTTGACAATGAATTCTGGACTCACAGCAATGATTTTTAATCAATTTTGTAAATGGCCTGTTCAGCCAATGTGTCTCAAGAGCAATGATGGATGCAGAATAAATGCTGGACGTGCCACTGCTATTTTCATCCCGTGGATCAATTAATAAAAAGAAAACCAGCGTGCTGTAGATTCTGTATGGTATTACTGACACATTTGGTTTACATGACTAATATTCTCAGCTGAGATATATCAATGAGATGTTAATTTCCTCACTCATTGATATGTCCCCATTAACTACAACTTCTATGTACTAATTTTGATCTGAAGTGTTATAGTGTTGGTTGTTTAGCCTTTTCTCCCAATGAGATTTTAAGGCTCTTTTGTAGATAGATAGATAGTTTATGATTAATAGTGAACAAAGTAAACAATTACTAATGCCTTGTGAATTTAATAGTTTTATTGCTATTGAAAGTCTTGTATTTCCAGCATGCCAAATCGGTAGGCAGGTGAAATCATTCTGAAAATTTACAGCCAGTGTATTGATTAAAAACCAAGCATTTTGGAAGTTTTTTTTTATGAGCCACCTGCGTTGAATCACAACGCATCTTTAAAGATAGGTTTGCATGCAAACCTAAAGTCATAAAAAGGAATGTGGCCCTTTCATCATTTTCAGCTCATCCACCCAGAGTGTTCAATTCTGACAGTCCTTATAGCCCTAACTGAGGCAGTCAGCTAAAGACCTCAATTTATTGTCTGTTTAAAAGGATGGTGCTTTTAACAACTCAACAGTTCTTCATTTAGAGTACATATTTGATTGATGTTGAATTAAACCAAAAGTATTTTGACCCTGACCGATAGGTTTCCAATGGAACAAAAGACATATGTGACTGCCTGATACAAAAAAAAGTGTCACTATTTTTAAAAGGTTAAAACCTGAAGTTGATGATGTGATTAATTATGTGAAATTCCTGTATGGAATCAACTGAAATATTGCTGACCTAGTGCACTGTGCAATAGATTGGCTGGCTTGTCTTCCATGCTGTGATTTATGTCTCTACTTGGTGGGAGGCATGAGATGAAAAATTTCCTCGGTTGGCAAGGGGTTTCCGAGGATGTTGATATAGAAAGCCCTTCCTCCCCATCAGACAAAGTTCACGCACCTGTGGCTGTAAGTCCAGAAAGCGTTCAATCCCTGGCTACTGCTTCTGAAAGTAGTGGCGAGTTCCACAGATATACGAGAGAATGGTGGATATTGGCTACTACTATCACACTCAATTCCTCCACTGCTTCTGATTTGATTACACTGCTTGTCAGATATTCAGGGTTGGCTGCACAAAAATATCTTTAAATTACAAGAAGACTAAAGGTACTGTCAGACCCCACCACAGACTCTACTTCTTAGCCACTGTTTGAGGCTGAATAAGACTGTTCGTGACCTTGTTGACCTATTTTGTGCCTTAGCTGAACTTCTATCCATGTATCCAGACCATTACCAAAATCTCTGGAACCTCATCTGTCTCTATCCTTCAGTTGTTCATCTGTTAAAATACTTGATCTACGTTTGTTATCTTTAGACTTGCCTGTACTTATTCTGCTACTCATTCACACCACCTGTGTGTACCTTTAATTTCCACCACTTCCTGTCTATCTATCATTTCAGTGCTTGCTAATTTACCTTGGTTCCCAGTCTGTCAATGTCACTTTAAAATTCGCATTATGTTTTCAAGTATTTCTGAGTTTGCTGTCTAACCCTTTCAACTTGATGAGACAGTTGTTCCAATTTTGACACTGTTGTTCCATCTTTGGCTATGCTGTTCGCTCCGTAGGCCCTAAGCTGTAGAATGCTTTCCTTAATTATCTCCGTCTGTCTGTCCTGTAAGATGCTTCTGAAAGCTTGCTTCATTGACCAGCTTTTACCACTCGTCTTAATAGTCATAGAGGTCTACAGCACAGAAAAAGGCCCTTCAGCCCATTGAGCTGTGCTGTGAAAAGCAACCACCTAACTATTCTAGTTCCATTTTTCCTTATACCTTTTTTTGTTTGCTTATCCTTCTGTGAAGTAACTTGGAACATTATGCAATGTTAATGGTGCCAAATAAATCCAAATCGTTGATTAGTAAGGTGGCTATGCCTTCTGTCTTTGAGGTTTTTAGAAGCCTCTTGATGGAGGAGAGATGAGCTAGAATAAAGCTTGAAAATCACAACATCAGTTCCATTAACAGTAGATGATTATAAATTTAACCTTGCTTTGTCTATTGCACGTTAGTTAGACTTTGAACATTACCTTGTTCTAATTTCATTATGTGAATGCCAAATAACGCTGAGAAATGATGCTTTCTAAGTTTAGATTTGAATCACTTATGATCTTTATCCTGAGATAGTCAGTATTACCATCCTTGTAATCCCCAAATGTGAACTTTGTGATGGCGTTAATTGTATTATTGTAAGTATAGTCAGAAAATGTGTTTGTATCCCTGTCTCACGTTCATCTGGCGAATGAGTTATGCTTCATTCGATATTACATAATGATCCTACTGGGACTGACCTACTTTATTTACTCAGGTTTAAGGATTAGATCGTGTGGAACATTTTAAACAAGGCTGACTTGGTCACAAGACCTAAAACTCTCGGCTAGCAGAACTAAATCTTGGTCTAATACTCTGATACTTTGTTTATATGTGGCAGGAGTGAAGTGAAGATGTAGATCTTTTTGGCTCACTAAATTACATGCTTATTATTTTAATCCAATTTTCTTGCATAATGTAGAATTGTGTTCCTATTATGCAAAATCGATTTTAAAAAAATTTGGGACCTTGTAGTTCAGATTTTATTCTGATACCTTATGAATCATTTGGTATGTTTCTTAGGATGTTTAACCAACACTTTTAAAATCTATTA